CGATTGCTGTAATTAGTGGAATTATATGGATCAGATGATACAAGTGGTGATAATATTTATAAGCAATCCATCAAAGTGTGGATCTACAGTTAATTACAAATTTGTATGTGCGTATGAGTTAAAGTAATAACAAAATGAGTGAATCATAAGTGTGAAAACGATTATCCAGAAGTTTGTGGAGGCTGTTACAATGAAAGTAGTGTTCGAGATACGTCAATCAACATCGAATACGAAAAGATTATATATCACGTTTTCATTCAAAGATTTAATTGCTGAATAATTATTCAATTAAAATAATAAGGATTGCAATCAAAAGATTCTTTATATCTACACCACGCAATGTATTTATGACCCAATATACACTTTGGGTGCAAATAAAAAATATATCTTCAAGTCTAGCGATTGCTTTGTCCACTTACAATTTGTTCAAACAAGTTTTTTGGATGAAACGCTGGAACTACTTATATTTCAATCGCTAGAACTATTTCAAAGATAAATAAGAACTTTCGTCTAAATTTGAACGAATAGTTTCACAATATTTGGGCGCCGAGTGAATTTGAGACATTAAAAAGAAGAATATATTTGTAAAATCTCAGCGAATGAATTTTAAGTAAATCCAACGTTTCGCCTGGCAATCTGGTTTAATATTTTCCTTGAAAAAGCTTGGACCAGATTGCCAGGCGAAACGTTGGATTTACTTAAAATTCATTCGCTGAGATTTTACAAATATATTTCAAAGATAATTGTTACAAAAAATGTCTTCTATATACTTAGTGCCCAATTTTTATCAAACTATTCATTCAAATATTGAGCAGGCCCTGAGATTTTTAAGGATGGTGGTTCAGTATTAGCAGTGAAATTAACCAAGGTCTAAGGTAGAATTTGAGGACTGGACGTAATCTCATCTGACTGGTCTCAATCACTGATTGCGCCAGTCTATAAGAAAGGACAAAAGTCCTTTTGTGACAATCACAGAGGAATCAGTTTGACTAATATAGTGTCCAAAATATTAGCTTCAATAATACTTCGACGCCTAACTATAGCTCGTGAAGAGCAGACTAGAGAGAATTAGGCTGGTTTTCGACCTGGATGTGGTTGTATAGACCATATATTCACACTACGTCAGGTTCTAGAACACAGACACACGTTCAGACGCCCCATAATCGTAGTATTTCTCGACCTTAAAGCAGCATTTGACTCTGTCGATCGTAAGGTTCTATGGCAGTGTTTGTCACTGAAAGAAGTACCAAAGAAGTACATTAACCTTATAAAGGCTCTCTACTCGAACACAACTGGTCGAGTGAGAGCTTATGGCGAACTGTCATCAGAATTGATTACCTCAAGTAGTGTTCGTCAGGGCTGCCCACTCTCTCCATTCTTGTTCAACTTTGTCGTCGACGTACTTTTAGAGACAACACTTTCCTCGTCTAGATTTCCAGTGGTTGAACTTCTACTTGGAGGTTCACTTGTTGACTTGGAATATGCTGATGACATAGTTTTATTTGGTGAAGACGCTGACAAAATGCAGTCTTATGACCACTCTAAGCAACAATGCAAGCATGTTCGGAATGCGATTCTCTCCCTCGAAGTGGAAAATGTTGCTTCAGGATTGGGTTGCATTGACACCCGAACTAATGATAGGGAGTGAAGTAGTTGAACGTGTCAACCACTTCACTTATCTTGGAAGTCTCATCAACCCTTGTGGTCTGGTGTGTGACGAAATCTCAGCACGGATACAGAAGGCTCGACTAGCTTTTACCAACTTGCGTCATTTATGGCGTCTATCAACCAAAGGACGGGTTTAATGCGCAGCAGTTCGTCCCGTCCTACTTTATGGCAGTGAAACATGGCCGGTAAGAGTAGAGGATATCCATAGGTTACTAGTGTTTGATCATAGGTGTCTTCGAAACATTGCTCGTATATCCTGTGACCATCGAGTAAGTAATGCAGTTGTTAGGAAACGGGTACTAGGTAAGGACGGCAAATCAATTGATGACGTAATGAAACTTCATTAGTTGAGATGGCTGGGACATGTGTTACGTATGCCCAACGACCAACTGCCCCGACGTGCGATGTTCAGTGGTATAAGAGTAGGTTGGAAGAAAGCCAGGGGCGGCCAGACCAAAACATGGCACAAGTCCAAGAAGTCACTGAAAAGTGGACTGAGTCATGTTGGTAGGTGTAGACTACCTGGTTGGGGACCGCGAGATGATAGCAACCGATGGTTAGAGACCCTGAATGAAATGGCTCAAAATCGTTTGCAATGGCGCAGGTGCATCCACTCTTTGTGTTCTCCCAAATTTTAAATCTCCTGATTCCTCCTTGTCTCTTTTTTCTCTTCCTAAATTTATTTCACTGTATTATACTCTTTAAATAACATCTCCAAACACTAATTTTCCCGATTACTACTTATACTCTTATTACCTGTACCACTACGGGATTTTAATCGGCCACTACATCTCTGTGCTAATGTGGTGTGGCAACTCGAATTGATGTACGTATGTACGAAGTTCTACGTTGTTACTGACTGATTGACTGAGCAATATTCGTCTAAAATTAATTCTGTTCTAATTTCTTGTGTAGAAAAATAACTTGACCGAATAAAAAAGTATACAAATTCGAAAATCACATAAACAGGTGCAAAAATTAGCATTATTTCCACAATAATATTAGCAGTTAATGCATAAGTACTGCTAGACAGAAGAAACATAAATTCCTTAATTTTATTAACGTTGAAATTCTGCATATATATATATATATATATATATATATATATATATATATATATATATATATATATATATATATGTATATATATATATATATATATATATATATATAACACCAAGGCCCAAACACATTAAAAAGAACTACCGAAATCGTTGAGTATTACAACCTGTAGTAAGAAACTACCGCGGCGATTAATACCATTTAAAGCAATAAATAATTTATTTACAAAACAGAACAGAAATATTCAAACCAATAATCAGATCGTCAGAGAATTTCAACATACCGAACTCGCTCCAGTTACACCTCTTCGATGGTCCAGATCTCCACGCTTGGGGAATTTCACAACACATTGTTTTGGAGTTGGTGGGATCCAGATACTTGTTAGATCAGTACTAGTAGCAGAAGCTGAGCAGTTACCATCTTGGTTGTCATTATCACAATCAGAATTCGTTGGTATTAATGAATTGGGAATGGGAGATAAGTTGTTTGTATGGGTGTTACCGGGATTGAGTGGTGGTTGTTCCTGAGGAGGTTCCTGTGAAGGGCTATTTGATGAAGGTAGTGAGTGTGAAAGTGAGATTTGCTCTGATGATCTGTTAGCTGGGAGAAAATTGTAATGAGTCGGACCCAATCTAACCGGAAGCTCAGCGAATTCATCATTTGAACAGTCACCTAAAGGTGATTCCTGTCTCTTTACTGATGTTTCAGCCTCGTCTGACACACTATCGTCAAATCGAAGTGAAGAGAATCTCAATAAACGAGACAGATGAGATTCACAAACAGAAGGATCAATGGATTGAGGACGTGAGTTGACTCCACTTATTGTGCGATATCGACCAAGAAGACTACTATTACTACTGCTACTGCTCAATAAGCCAGGAATACTATCACGATTTTGTGTGAAACGAGCCATTCGAAGCAAACGGCGCTGATGAGTGCTTCGAGGCGTTTCAACCACAGAAGTTCTGTTTGTGCTACCTAGACCAACGGAGCGGGTACTACCAGACAAACCAGCTCCAACTGTTTGGTGCGAACTCCCTAATGTGCGACCCGGGTAAGCATGGTTTATTACAGACACTTGTTGATTGGACTCGGTATTTAAAAAATTTGGTCCACATGGTGTATTCACGTGGTTTGAATTTTCACCGAACGGAGGTTGACTTCGACTGCGCCAAAACAAGTTACTAGGTAGACTAGTGGTAGTACTTATCTCATTGTCTAGGTTCACATTTTGAACGGGTGATTCTCGAGACGATCGACTGGATTCAGAACGCGAATTTTGATTGTCACTGGTATATGTTTCTGAATCGTAAAAGGACATAGAATTAATTTATACAATTTCCTGCCTTTGATAAACACTTAGCAAGCTGAAAACGAAATGGGAAAAATTTTTTTAATTATGACGAAACAAACGACAGATAAAAGGACTCATATAATACATTGAAACAATGTTTCTGGGATTCCCAGTGATTTATAAAAACTTAAAAAGCACTGTCGGTGTCACTATACCTGTGAAAGAGTGAAAATCACTGACGAACAAAGAGATCAATATGTCATAAACGATAAATAAATAAAATTATGCAGCATATGATCTCTACAATACTGGCTTCTAAGTGTTATGTCCTTTACCACTTCCAACTTCTTTACAATGAACAGATATTTAAAAAAACTTAATGGCTATCACTAATAGTCAAAGACGAGTGATAAAAAACGAAAATGATGAATAATGTTAAGAATTACTGTCAGAAAGTACCCTACTTTAGCATCATAGAGTTAACATACAGATGAAATTCCGACATTCTGACGATCGTCAGGAGGGCAATCACAAGCAAGGTTCTCATTATAAGCATCAATTATATGATTGAATATTCTTATTCGCGATTCCCAACTGCTTTCGACAAGAGGGTCGAACTCATAATAATTAGATTGGAATAAATTGTTCTGATCATAGCTAAAGGATTTAAGAATCGATATTTTCATAAGAATTTAGGACAGAGCCCTTTCCTTTAATTTAATCAAAATATTCAAGAGACTCAATGTACTTCTACTATTTTAAATTAAACAACCATCAAGCAGTTCACAGGAAAACATACTAAATACCACATAAAAACAAGACCGTAATATCGAAAGTTTTATATTAATAAAAGAAAGATTAGATTGAAGAATATACAAGCAACACTGTGAACCCCTTTATGTACAAATTCATTTTTCAGTAAAAATATTAAGAGATCGATTGTAACACTGAAAAGTTATGATTTTGACAGTCTTTCTTATTCGTCAAATTCACCCCAGAGTGCATGGTCATAAACAACAGAGTTCATATTACGCATCAGATGGGATGTTGGTTCACTAGACTTATCGTCCTTTTTGGTAGATTTTGCAGCCAAAACAAATAGTCTGTCTAACACACAATTTGCGGACATGGCAGCTTGATAACGTCTTTTTTGACTGCTTTCAGTAGTTGTACATCTAGTTTTATATAGTAGGGAAAGAAAGCAGTGTAAAATTTAAAAAAATATGGAATCGTCTCGAGTTAAAAATCAGCTTACACTTAAAATCACTTACTCAATATCAGAAACAGTCGTTGTCATATATTGAGATTCTGAATTTTATGGAGTTACAGTAACTTCGGTGCTTTTTTTTTATTTTTTGGATAAAATAATGTACACTCACTGAATATTAATAACAAGGACAAAAGTAACGTATGCTAATGGAACTAAGTAACTTAGTACAGATACATGTACTAAGTTTCAAGTCACATATTACGTGTGAGGGTTACTGATGTTACTCAGGCTGCTCTCACTGAATTGCGTGAGGAGTAAGCAACGAATACATTTTTCGGCTAGCTAGATATGGAGACTGTTGAGAGTATTTCAAGTTTAATATCTTGAGGGATGGACAATTCAATCGATGATAAATCCATACCAGTCTCGTTTCATACGACGTAAAAATATGGTATTGGTAAATGAAAAGACCGATTAATTAATACGTGATTTATAATTTGATGGTGCCTAATTTATGACTGTGACATAAGTTGTCACGATAATCATATTCATTTATTAGATTTCTCAAAAGCACAGGGTATTTCATAAACTACAGTAGGGAAAAGGAGAAATTAAATAAATTAGTTCACACGAAAAGACCAATCAATTGCAATCGCATCAAAGTATAAATTCTAATTTCAAAAATCCGGCACTTGACAACCGATTGAAGATAGACATGATTACAATATACAATGAATCACTATGATTTGATATACTCTTTGGCTTTAGAGAAATACAAGGGCTGCTTCAACATACCGGGAATGCCATTTAATTGTAAACCGAGATAATGAACAATGGTTTCAAGGAAGATATAGATCGAAAGAACAATGTCATGTTCTTTTCCAAAACCTCGATGGTTCCTTAAAAAGATCTATTGTGAATAAAATATTTTTTACTAGTATGGAACACGACCGTCTCAACGATAATTATTTCTAATTAGTCTTCAGAATTATTATAGTAGTGTTTAGATACAGGAGGAGTGTGACCTAATGTACACAAAATTTATATGCTGCGATTGAGCTAATCACTTCTCGGCAGGCTTCAATGATGTAGTAAGAACTCAGAGAATGAAACCAGAAAGGTTTACAGAGATAAACAGGTTCGATCACTGTGTCAGCGTAGAGGCTGTGTCATGAAATGCTTAAAATGAGTCTCACATGCATATGTTTATTCATTATTATTTATCTCTAACACATAGGTTTTAATATTTCATGCATTTTATTCTCGTATTTCATTACTTGTTTTCGAAACAAATTCTATATTTTTAGATTTTCCTACAACTACTGATACTACTGTTGTTTCGACACCTTTGATACTCACCTTACTAATTTCAATTCGTTGTGGTGATATCGTATACATTCGTCTCAGGTCTTACGTTGATTAGGACTGACTGAAAAACATGTTATAAGCTACTTGTATATCGAAGAAAAGCAAACCATGAACTTCTAGATAATCAACTACAACTTCAGTAATAAGCTCTTGCTTAATAATTTCATATATCATGCAAAAAAAACTCACATATAAAAATTAGTCTCATTTATTCCATCACAAGTTGGATGATTTTCATCAGAACTATCATCTTCTTTGTCTACTGATCTCTCACGTTCATTCAACAAATCATCCGAATACAAATCGAACTCTTTCGGAGAGCATGGTTCAATGTCAAATTTATCCATATCGCCCTTTGCACTACTTTTTAAATCATTTGAATCAGATGGAGAAAAACTAATCCATAAGAAAGGATCAGATGAGTCAACAGGCAGAAGAGATGGCGCTTTGTTTACATCATTATAAATGAAGGATAATTGTTGGATTTGATTGAAGAATAGTGAGTGAGGTAAAGTGTTGCTTAAAATTTCCTGCATACAGAAGAGAAAACCATAAAACGAGTTTTAATAGCTTTAAACCATTGCAAAATGCTGTAGACTGCTTGCGGTGCAGAAAGAGAATTATATTTTGTACAACAGGGCTACAGTAACAAGCGTAAAATTTCAGTATTACACCACAATTCACTTGACATCATAATTGAGTTACTATAAAATAAAACATTTTAGTCTGTCTATACTTTTGAACTTTAAAAAGGAAAACCAGTGGCTTGATGGTTAAAGCATTAGAGGTTCTGGATTTCAATTTGGTCCCGCCTACTGTAGTTTGGTCACATGAGCAGAAGTGCTAGACGTTCGAGCATGTAAATAGATATCCCATAAGCCGGTTATATCGGTTCATAAATAGAAAATAATAACAGATCTGATAACGTATCAAGACACTGTTACACCATCTCTAGAACTCCAACTAGGTACTCGCGAAGGACAAACAGATGCCATTCTTGTACGGCTCTCCTTCATACCACTACATTGTGTCATACACTGACCACCTCTCCAATTTTTCCAACCAGTCCCAGCATCGGCAAATAGTGCGCGATGTGAAGTTCGCCGAACCGACATTCGTAAGACGCCCGAGCCACCGAATTGGGTGTTTCAAGATGGCAACACTAATTAAAATATCGTCCCTGCACCCAAACACACGACGCCAAACCTCTGCGTTACAAATAGTGTTGCCAGTACATTTCAACAGTCCTCTGGGGACAACGATGATCAAACACAAAGAGTCAGTTAAAATCCCCAACTTGGAGAGGCCAGGTCTTAAAAAGATAGGGCAGAACTGTTCTCACTGACGCGTCGTAGCTCCAACCGTTGACAGTCAGACTAACATCACGAAGGCGTCAAAGATGATCTAGGTTGGTATAACTCGCTCCGGCTTTCATCATACGTAAATTAATCTCACGCTAGCGCATAAGCAACTACCCAGACACACGAACTGCCCGACTATTTCTATCCGCTCACCACCCAGGGTGAGTGTAGTTTTGGGGTCCTGCTGATCTTGTAAAAGTACTTTGCACTTAGGTGTAAAGCATATGCCATACTTACGGACACGGATTAGGAGCCTATTGCATGGTTCGGGTATTGTCATAAAATATCATCTGCACACTCATGGTCCCAAAGTTTTTCCACAGGCAACAGATTCACATCACTATTACCTACATCCATCAGAACTGTTTCCAGATCGTCATGGATGGCAAAGTTAAAGAGGAATGGTGGGATTGGGAAACCCTACCTAGCCCCACTGCTTGAATGAGACAGTGGTAAGACGTGGTTGTATGCCCTCACTATCTGAAGTGTTTGTAGGGCTATCAAGCTGCAAATATACGTCTCAGGCACACCCTTCTTTAATGGACAATCCTAGAAAAGTCTTGTCCAACGAATCGAAGGCAACCGTACTGTTGAAAAACACTATTATGGTTGGTCTGTAATAAGTATGACAATGTTCTAACATTTGGCAGATAGTGAAGATATGACCAATCATCCTCGACCATAACGAAAACGAGCCTACTGCTCGCGAGTCAATCTTTCTCGAATTTTGGACAATCTATAAACTAAGACGGAAGCCAGTAGTTTGGACGCAATCGAAAGTAGACTTATCCCCCGATAGTTGTTACAGAAATGACGTGAACCCTTTTTAAAAATAGGAACAACTATTGACTCATTCCACAATGATGAAACACTCTCTAACCGCCGGACCTTTATCAACAACGCAGTCAGTTCTTTAACCAGAATGCCTCCAACATCTTTAAAAAGGGCTGAAGGTAAGTCAGCCATATGGCCATGAGAATTTGTAGCGCTACTGGAGTTGGGGTTCCTTGAGGACTTTCGCCTCCTTAAGTGGATCAGTCGTCACATGCCATGGAAAGCAGGATAGGTTGATCGATGTTGCGGGAGAGGGGCAGCATACTATCGTTCAAGACGTCGGTAGATGTTATTGATTAGCATCATGTTAGCTTCGCAAATTGCTTCACTCACACCAGATTTCTTGGTGCCAGTGACTAGGATGAGTTGCTTATAAGCGGGAAGTTTCGCGAAGCAGCAAGCAACTTTACTCGCCATTTTCATGTCATCATGAAACTGCGGCCAATGCCCATCTATACTTTTCGGTGGCTGATAACTAACCTTGAACTTAGCCCGATTTGATATTTGGCTGAAACCAATTTTCTGTAGTCATTCATTGAGGACGACGAATTTGTTGGCCACTGAAGAGTAAGATAAGATTAGCGCAGATGAGAGCATGATTAGAGTCCAGATAAGTATTCCAAAAGGATTACCACTCCTGCACACAGTCACCTAAGTGACTCTCCTACGAGTATTTAAATCTCCAGCTAGCACTACAATATCTGCCGAATGCGCTTTCCTGAAGTCATTTGATTTCCTTTAGAACTCCTTCTTGATTGCATCGGGGCTGCGATCCGTCGGGACACAAGCAGAAGATAACGAAAAGACATCTTTTCTCATACCGATTTCTGCCTTTGATGGAGTTTTCTATTCTAACAGAGCATAATTGACTATCGATGGGGATCTAGTCGAATAATGCCGGCTCTGTTCTAGCGCTTATTAAGACACGAACTCTAGAAAAACCAAACGAAGATGCCACAGAGTTTCCGGACAGAAGCACGTACAAGTCTTTGGCAGTGATAAATGGGAACGGAATGTGTAGTGCTTCACCAGAATCTTGAATACAGGTCTTGGATAGACAACAGACATTGATGTTGAGACTTTCTAAAGACATGACCAACCCTGTCTGTTGCCCGATCTGCATTAGTGTGCGAACGTTTAAGCAAGCCAATTTGAATGGCACATGTGGTTTCAGAAAGGCTAGTTCAGTATTCGTAGTCGGTGGTATCACTCAACATTCAAACATTCAGTGACCTGAGATCCTTTATATAGGACAGGGTTTCAACCATAGGCAAGCTCCTGTATAAGTTGAAAAATAAAGTACACAAAATGAGAATAAAAAGGAATAGATAATGACATAGAATATAACGGTAAAAAAAGTACGTTACTAAATGACTGTGAATTCGATTTGCCTGAATGCGAACTGAAGTGAGAATAATTTTTCTATTTGCGTGAGGGCTGGGACACTGCCTTGGTGCCCAAACCGAAGCGAGAGGTTTTCTTAGGGGGCCACATCCAGAGCCTTTGATCTAAAGGTCTAATCCACAGGGCAGTGGAGCAACGTTAGGAGATGCAGTACCATGGTAGCCGTTGACTAACAATAGGTTCATATTTGTAACCTGAATGTGGAATTTAGCTCTGCTGATGGATTCTTTTGCCATGCCTGTTATTAAAAGGAGTACTAAATGAATACATTAACCTTGTACAGGCTATCAACCCGAACACTAATGGTGGAGTCAGAGCTCATGAAGAACTGTCATCAGAATTGATAAATTCAAGTGGTGTTCGTCAGGGTTGTCCGTCTTACCCATTTTTATTTACTGTTATCATAAACATCCTCACCATCCTGTTTTTCTAGGGTTTGATCCACCAGGGGATTGACCTGTTGATTGAGAGTAAACACATGATATAATTTTGTCTGATCAAAGTGCCAAAAATCCAGTCTTCTGACTACATTAAGCCACGATGAAAGCATATTTGGGATGTAATTCTTTCCCCCGAACGCAAAATGTTACTTCAGGATTGGCTTGCGTCAGAGCCTGAATTAGTGATAAAGAATAAAAGAGTTGAACGTATCAACTCCACTTATTTTTGGAGTCTCATCAATTCTGGCTTTTGCCAACTTGAGTCACTTGTGGTGTACACGAGACACTCGCCTGTCAATCAAGAGGCGAGTTTACTGCGTAGCAGTTTGCTTTGTTCAACTTCATGGGTGTGGAACATACCCATTAAGAATAGAGGATATTTGTAGGTTACTAGAATTCGACCATAAATTTCTTTAAAGTATCGGCCGTGTATTTTGAAACCAGTGAGTAAGCAACGACTGAGTTAAGGACAGGGTACTACGTACTGATGGTAAATCAATCGGTGAGGTAGGAAATCATTATCAACTTAGGTAGTTGGGACATGTGTTAGTGTGTCTAACCACCATCTCCCTCGATGGAAGACGTTGCCTGATGTAGGATTCGGCTGAAACAGACTATTTTTCGGTAATCAATCCAAATACAAACATGAACAATTAAAAGGATAGTTACAACACTCACCCGAAGACCAGCAGGAAATTTTAAAGTGGTCAAATTGAAACAGGCATGAAGCGATGGTTGCTTTTGTTGCTGGTGGAGAAAATACTGGCATATTAAATATTGCAATGTGATTGGGTAAGATTTTGCACGAATCAAACGAAAACCACTTCGTAACGTAGTTGAAGATACCATTGGATAATAATTATCACGTGGCAGACTACTCAGGTTTTATTCATTAAATGGATTATGTAAGAAAGCATACATAAATAAGAATAAGATATCCGATTGAGTGGATTACATGGGTTAGTGACACATATACAAGAATTATTAATTAATCCAGTTTTAATTAAGATCTTTTTTCCAATCAATAAGTAACATTTAAATGACATGTAACCACATACTGACTTTAAAAATGTAATGAGAATATCAAGACAGACTGAATAACAAGGAATACTGGTCACCCACTGGAAGTGATTTACCTTTCATTCAAAGGTAATGTAGAGATTAATTCCTCTCTATTTGACTCCAAAATACGTTATCCCGTTAACTCTATTTCAGCAGCCCAATTCCCATAATAGCGCTATGAATTTACTCGAAAATTTTCAAAAGCGAGAACACTAGTTGTTGAGATGTTTAGTGTTACTAATTAATAACACCCACAGACACGAGAGAGGCAAGCGCACCGAAAAGTGAGTCAATGAGTAGAAATTCGAAGCACGTATACGTATTTTAAGACTTAATATGTGGGTAAAGTTGTAAATTGTGTGTTAATAACCAATGGGAGGATAGATAAAGATTGTGGTGCAGACATGAGTCCAATTAGACTCACACATACTTTTACATGGTGGGTTAATTATCTAAATCACGGCAGGTAGATAAAAAAGTTTAATGGGCTTACTTATAGTACCACTACTAATCATACACTCAAATCGTTGTTTTAAAAAAAGACATACTTTGCGTGGTGTAGATTATTCTATTTGAAGGCTTATTCACTTTATCTTACTAACTCCATAACCAGCTGATGTAACCTAATGATTGTTAGTCTCATCAACAGGCCGTTTGCCGATCACTAGGTTTTGCTATCACTACTACAGAAAATATTCCATCTTATGGATACAATGACATTAAATGTTTAAGTTTCTTTGGTGAATTTCATTTCTAATAAAGGAATAACAAGTTAAAGAATTTCTGAAGTCTTATTACTTCTAATTCAGGTAGATGTACTTGGAAAATAAAAGATCACCTGACTTCTGTAATTGCTCCAACCTAAAGTCACACGATATATTGGTAGTTCCAATATCTTAATAATTTAGACAGCAATGGTACAAAAATACCCGAAGAAAGGTGTTATATGTAGATTTCAACAAGGTTATTAGAAATAATCTGTGGATATTTACTAATGGTGCTATACGGGAAGAGTGAAAAGACTAAATAAAACTAGTATATTTGTCTAAATAGCTGCATTTTAATTAGGATTTAAACGGTTGAGTGCGTTTCATTCGCATAATCGGCATTCTCAGTAATACTTTCATCAAGGACAGATGGGTAATGCCATCCAGCACGTTTCTTTAGGACAGCATCCCACAGGGAAAGGTGCTTTTGGATAAGTGACGTCTGAAAAGGATATATAAATTAAACATTTCTTCTTTCGGCAGCAGAACTTTGACAAAACATTATTCTCTTTTGATCAAATCATGCTTGTTTCGTTCATCTCACCATTCCTGACAATACTAGGACATTGATGATTTCCCGAACTCGACTTCCTGAAAGACTGCTAACCATCCCAGTCTGTGAAAGTGATTGAAGGGCGAAACTTAGGCTGAATAATCAGGTCATAATTGCGCTGGCGTGAGCATGGTCTACAAAACGTTTATGTCTTAAATGACTTCTAACCATGTCCATTACTTTGTATACTATTTCCATTTTACTAGAAGAAACCTATTCTAAGGGTTACTACTTTTATTCTTCATACTAATTGATTGCCGATAATTCAGTATTGTGGACAGACTTTATTCTGTAGCATTGAGTCCCCAGTAATTGACTATTTGAATGAATTGTAGTAACTGTGAAATGACATGATACGCTAAAAACGCATCTTAAGCTTTGTTCAAGTTAAATACTAGGTACATGATTTTGGCCTCCGCTCTGAACCACAGATATTGTGTAAAGATTAAGTGCACCACATAGTTACCCAAAAACAAGTTCAAACCTGGGACATGGTTGTTGAGATTTGAATGTTTACATAACCGAAACACATGAAATCACAGACAAGTTCGTCTTCCGTATGCCATGAAAATATATATCGCACCTAATTTGACATAACATTGAGAATTATGAACTCAGACTCAAATTGTCCTTCCCCTTCAACGTCCGTACATCGATGCAGATTACACAACAGTTAGTTGGTTGCTCTTAGAAAGTCTTGATATCACTGAGACCTGTATTCACAACTAGTGAATGATTACGAATTCGGTCTTTATTCGTCAATTTGAAAAGCTTGTTTTATGTGCGCTTATTCACCGATCCTGTGGAATCTGAGTCTGTTTTGGTTGGTGTTAGTATTGCACTTAGAGTCATAAGGCTCTGCACACAAACACTTTAGCCACAGTGAAGGGATACAGCCACTTTTAATCATTCTATTCCAGAAAAGGGATTACAGGTTTCCCAATCTCATCAATTCCCGCCAACTCTATTGTTGATGATATTCTTGAAGCAGTTGTGATGGAAGTAGGTAGTGTTGGAGTATATCTGTTACCTGCAGAGACTTTTCGATCTGAAGTACTCGAGCGATATCGTCTTGTGGTGTGACAATCAAACTATGTATATCGCGTTTAATTAGTTGCCAATCAGTGACTGCAGGTATGGCACGTACTTCACACCTTCAAATGTAAATTACTCTTACAAGCCTGGCAAGAACTTGTGTATGCATAAACCCTTTGTAGATAGCCTTTAAAATTAGTCAAGATATTCTTATATCTCGGTAGTTAAGTGAGTCCTGGTGATGTCCCTATTGATGAGATCAGTCTACGTATAGTAAAAACCGAAGCGGGTTGTGACAATCTGGACAACTTTTGGAGCCATCCTGATTTAATGACAGTAAAAGGTAGGGTTTACAACATGCAATTGACGACAGCTTTGCTTTATATCTGTGAAACCTAGCCTTTCCAAATTGAAAATGTTCAATGACTCTTTTTGTCCCATCATCGTTATCTCCGAAGAACTGCCGAAATCCATTGGCAACACCATATTATTAATTCTGAGGTTCGGTGATGTGAGTTTGGATATAGTGACGATAACTCAAGTGGTTTCATTAAGTGGCTTCGATGTGTGTTAAAAATGTCATCCCAGCGATTTTCACAACGTACATTGATCGCCAATCCTGGAACGAAGTGAGCAGTCTATGAGGTGGTGTAAGGATTTGTAAAACTATAATTTCAATGGTTGAGATCATAAGTCAATTGAAGCCAGACCGCCATGGAAAACTTGTAAGCACTGGACGACCGTTTCGTCCTATTGTGGGTCTGAGTTCAAATCTCGCGAGGCGGGGTCGTGGATGCGCACTGCTGAGGAGTCCTACAATAGGACGAAACGGCTGTCCGGTGCTTCCAGGTTTTCCATGGTGGTCTAGCTTCAATTGACTCATGATCTCAACCATTGAAATTACTATAATATCCACAAAACCCTTCTGATAAGAAAACTATAAGACTGGAATCCATTGGTCTGTCATGATCCCAAGATTTGGAACTTCTGGATGGTGAGACAGTAGCGGTTTTACTGTAGTTTTCTTATACAGTTTTAATAAATATAGAGGGATCTCCCTTAGCTCAAATTTCTCCCGGTTTTATTTAGCTGAACTGTTTTATCATATACTACATTAATTAGCTTACTTTTATTGATTTGTTTCAATTATATTCTCCTCCTTACTCTACCTCTTCACGATTTTATTTCCTTATTAGTGTGACGTATACCTATTTTGGTGCCTAGTTGTGAGCATATTTATTAATTTTAAACGTATATATAGTCTATTCGTCTTCAATTTTAAAAGACCGTTTGAAGGTTATGGATTAAAAAATAAGATACATGGGTGTCACCTACGACACAAGTGACGCAAGTCGCCAAAGACCAACTGAGCTTTCTGAGTCCATATATAAATTTCGTCAGGCAAACCCATCAGTACTGATTAAATCTCAACGGCAAGTGCAGTGATCGATACACTCAACCACTTTACTCTCTATAGGAGCTTTGGGGTTAACGTATTTCAGTTCTGAAGCAACACTTTCCATCTAGAGGGATAAAAATCTATTCCAAACTGCACTGTTGCTCAAGAACATTAGAAGACTACATTTTATCGGCGTCTGCAACAAATAGAACTGTCATTCTCATGTTCTATGTCGACAAGTAAACCTAATAGAAGACCAACCTATGCAGAGTTAGGTGAAGGGTCATATCTAGGAGGGTAATTTTGATGGAATTAGATAAAAAGAGCCGAGTGCAACACTGATGAACATTACTTTTCGTTAGGTTACAAGTAGACTGAAGTATTGAGAAAACTTACTTAAAACAAGCATTCGGATTCAATTGTCCATCAACGTAGAAGTAAAGCTTTAAATGCCACAAATCGAGAAGACAGCCAATTATACTACCCTTTTTGAAAGCGCAAGATCCCAAGGGATATGTTTGACCATCATGCATAAGTGCACCACGATAACTTAATCCCCACGAATCACAATCAATACCAAGTACCGAACGGAATTCTTGTGAATAATGATCTAGTTTTGCACATGTTCGACCGATTCCAACCATCTAATAAGTATAAAATGTAACACAAAACTTGTTTCGAAGCACGTTTGCCAGATGGTTAACACGTCCCCAAGCACTTTAATTAGTGAGAAACATAAAAGCATCATTATAATAAGAAACTTAAAACCATTCACATTTAATACCGTGCAAGGTACAAATGAACATTTCTTGACTTTTCAACTTAAAACTCGACGTCTTTTGATCTTTCAACACAGTGAACCGGGTAGCGATATCAAACTGAAGTAGCTACATAGGCTACACTTACTACGTTGTAAAGCCTTATGACCATGAAACCCGATTAGATCGTGCCACCTTTCACGGCAACTGCTTCAGATAAGCAGCTGAACTTAATAATAGTGCAGTGCACATATATTTGCTTGGTGTGAAACAGAAGCACCTGAAATTCTAAATCATATAGTGTGAAACCGAATATGCTATACACGTTCTACAAACAAAGTAGGTAACTAAAGTATATTTGCGCTACAGCGAAACCATGTACGATTTGAAAATTAGTAAAACAAAAGCCCTCGAGTTGGGATTAAACCCTTACACTACCAACCGGTGGCGACAAACAGATTTAATATTCCTAAAAACGTACCACATCTGTTCCATAAAGTGGAGATACAGCTTTAAGTTCCCAATAGTGAAGGCCATTCGTTAGTAGGGCAGTCCCACGTGCAACAGCTGTGCCCCAACTAATAGTCGGATGAAATGTAACAGTCTTATCATTTTCAGACAGCTGGAAGGACTGTAGTGGAGATTCCGGTTTACACCAACGCCATTCCAATGCTTAAAAATTTAAATATGATGTAATCCAGGCTCACGTTCATCAATACTTTCATTGCAACGACAAAGTAATATCCAACTTAGATCCTGAAACTTTGGAGAATCAGGATCGCAGTAAGCACATTTCTGAACAGTCAACATCAATAATACAAAACTAAACAGCCTTGTACATTTAAGCGCTCTTTCCAAAAACCTAGAAAAGGCTCTCTGGCTCACCTAAACAAAAACATTAAATGTTGGAGCACTTTGCTTTTATGAGTACTTCTTCAAAATATGGGATCCTTTTTAACCATTTCGTCAAAACAAACATTAAAAGAAGTTCATACATGTAGTTTCTACATTTTTCCTTCATGTTACGCTCCTCAGTGACGTTTATTTTTGAATCTTTCTTGCTCCTGATCCAGTCAGACGTTTACAAAGAGGTTGTGCCATAAATTTTCTGGAATCTTGGATTTCGTTTAGGTTATTCGTTCAAGCTATGCTATGAATTCGAATTGGGTTGTTTTGGACTTATACGGGTCCAGTATACAACGCTATGATAATCCGAAAATTTGTACAACAATACCTCGTATCACGTAAACATTCCCTTAGACTTATATCATATCGAATGAATATCTACCTGAAATCTCGACTACATGGAAGCTTAAGTAATTTGGGAAGATTTTATGATTGTATTAGGTAATTTTATACTTTATTTTTTATGCTTAATAAAATTTCGTAGTTACTTCATAATAGTGGTCATATACTCTGTCACTCTCGTTAGTTTGTGGCCGAAATCACTTGTATTTATGCGTTGTAGCACTACAGAAAGACGTACTACGTGTACACAAACAGTCTCGATCTGTCTCAAATATATATACTTCGTCATGTGATTAGTTCTCTGTATGAATTTAAATAAAGCCAGAATAAATATCTGTCTCTGAACTCCACTCAACTATTACACCACCCATCCTTAATGTTTCCTTAATTCTAACACTGAATAAACTCTGACGTGTTCTTGCACACACACATATATATAGTTACCTTTGATAGCCTTTGTCATTCATTTATAACAATTGTTCCATACTACTTCCTATCTCAATGTTAAATTCTGATACATACTTGGTTGTAAGCAGCTGACGAGAAACCACGAAATATAATGAATTCAAATTATTCTGCATTAATATTTGTCTTCGCTTTTTTTAGATACTTCGTCGTAATATCATACTCAACATGTTACTTAACGCCAGATGCTATATCTTCCGCACCACTCCTTAACATATTGGCCATGTTATGTGATCCTTCTATACCCACTGGTGGTTGCCATTTTCACTAATTTTTGCTATCCGGTTTACATTTACTGTTGTCTCACACGTTAACTCATGACTCGACTTTCTTATTACACGTATGTCGTGCTAATTTCCTTTTCGGTTCATTTACATGGAATTCGGGTCTGGCAATTGTCCTTAGGATTCCCCACATACTCTAACCTCAAACGTAACAAACCTTATCGAAAGAACTCAACATGGGTTGATATAACTTTAAACAGTCACATTGCTTTTTATCATGGTCACTGCTAGTCGCTATACATTCAACCAACCTGTAACGGAATTAAAACGCCGAAAATCCCTCAACAGAGTTTTTGTTGGACAGTACTGTCATTTATTTGTTTCTTCTCCCTGTCGTGTATTTTAACCTTTGCTCAGATCTCTTTTAACCACCCTTTGTGTTTTTCAGACTTTCTCGTCTGTGCTTTTATTATGTGAGCTTGATTAGAAGGTTACCTTTTGTTACCTAATTTTTCTGTTGCATGTTGCCGGACTATTGACAATAAGGTAGTGTTTGACTAAGCCCAAGGTCACAGCGTGGTTAAGTGTGGGACTGTTAACCTTTGACTCTGCTTAGAAAGATAACTGAAGTCCCTGCAGACAGATATGGGATCCCATCTTGCTGGGAATATTTTTATAGATTCACAGGTAGTGAACTCTATTGTAATAACTGTTTCTTTTGTTGTTCAGCACGCTAATTTTTGTTAGACATTATTGACTTTATAGCACAGGCTGTACTGTTTGTTGTGATTTGTATGTTTGATACAATTTGTTCTATTTCTTAAATTATAACCGTTTAAATTGAGCACAGATTTGTGTTTTGATATAATATAATACGAGTGACTCAAAAACCCTTCGCACGCTGTAAAGAATAACGTAGTCTGGTTTAATCGAATAAAATTTGGATCGTTAGTTCTGCGTTCAAATCAAATATTGGCAGTTCGGTCGTTGCAGTTCTCAAACAAACAGTAGTCACACGTGGCAAACATTGAAATACCTGGCAAGCGCAATAAGAAAAGCCTTTTTGCAATATTTTGATATTTTTAAAATCGACTTGGTGGTTGTTGAAAATGACATGAACTGCTATTGCCAATTTAATTAGAAGTTGGTTCAATTCTACAGGATTGTTAGGAGGTTTCTTTGTGTATCTAATTTTCTACTCATTGGGATATTACAAATACATTATTTTTATTTATATTAAAATTATTGATTTTTGATATTTGCCCACCAGTTGCTGCCGCCACATTTCTATTTGTCTTACAGCTTAGCTGTACTCAGAGGGCTCTTATGGATAATTTGTCAATCTCCGGGGCGCTCTTACTTCTTCCATTGAACTTCTAGAATTTCCATTTTTGCAGAATCCACCGAAACAAGTTCCCTTACTGTAGTCCGTTGAAACCCGTATAGCTTTGTAGGGGACACTACTGACGCCTGAAATCATGTCAAAATCACAAATTTATCAGCCTATCTCCAGTCTAGTTTCTTTCTTCCATGTCTCCGAATGATCCATTTATTCCCATTAACGTCCATCTTAACCTCGGCGCTCAGGCATCCATAAGGATGGTCAATTCATTTACTGAACATTTCTATGGAACTAACTGCAGCTCTTTATAAGACTGACCATGATCATCCTCGCTGCTATAGTTGATGGATGGGTAACATCAAGAGACATTCGCTGTATTCCTTTTCATTTTAGCTTTGGAAGATGCTTTAACGGTCATAGAATCGTGTCTCCCATCCTATCAAAGATTTTCACGTTTCTTAAGTGGACATCAATACAACCTCTTGTGTCTAATGTACTATTTTCCTTCACCGTAAGAATACAGCAACATCTCGGAGATAAGTCTTCTCAATAAAGATTGTTATCAACATGTTTTAATTACATCATGTATAGCTACTTTGTTTTTTATTTCTCCTTCTGTGTCGAAAGACATTCCAATTCCCCGAATCGTTAGAAAATTTCATGCACATGCGCATCGGGTCTATGGATTCTGAAGAATCCTGGCTTCTACCACAAGACGCTATCACTCTTCCATATAAAGGCTCTTCAGCACCAAGGTGGAGTGTGATATTTTTGTGATGATTAGAAGTACTTAGATTAATGTGTCAAATTAGAATTCTCGAAACAGTGTAATAAACAGCAAATAGAACTAGGTGAGCACAAATGAACGTATTGTATTTGTAATTCGAAATCAGGCGGACATCAAATACAAAAATGTCATTATTTCATACAAACACCAATTCCAAATTTCTCCAATTACTTATACTTTTTCTCCTTAAGTTCATCATATGTCTATCCGACTGTGTTTTGGATAAAGACTCTGTATGATCTAGAATATACTCATTAGTATTAGAATTAACAAATGAAATCGGAATGGACTTACCTGGGTTCTGGAGTTGTATGCAAACACCATGTCGGTTGTGTACCGACACCACTGATATCTGAAATTCGAATCATAGATATTCCAAAGCTACACTCCCCTACGAAATAATGTACTGTCCTCGTATGGCAACGTCAATTTTCCTGTTCGCATCGTTTCGTATCTCACACATCGAATATTATACTTGAGAATTTGAGGATACACATTGACATATAATTTTAGGAATTTAAAATGTGACTTCGACGTGCGTAAAAATATGATACATATTCTTTTTGGTTTTCACGTTGGAATACACAAGACCATCCCTTTTGATCTATCATATCACGGACTATGGATTCTACTTGACACAAATTAGTTGTGAGAATATCCAACATTTGATACAATAACATCAGAAATGGGACTACAATTCGACTCATTAGAGACATATTTGTCAAAGTCATTAAGAATATTATTAGTGATAAGTCCTTTGTGAGGACGAATATTATCTAATGCGACACCAAAAGAACTGTAATCAGATTTTAACTCAGAACTTGTTCCTCACATTGAATTAAGGTCTCACTAGAAATAAATGAATCATTAGCACAAACGATATCTGATAAAATGAAATCAGAGTTCTGATAAGGATTTGGTGCACTCGATATAGCTTTCATATATTTGTAAATAATTTCATTAGAAATACATGAATCACGGGAACAACGCATATCTGGTACAATAATATCGTAAATCTGATCAGAGTATGATTCATTTGAAACATCCATCTTAATAGGATCGGAATTACAAAGCTTAGCACTACTTACAGTGAAATGAATGACAGTTTTACAAACTGCCTGTATGTATCCAATTTTACTACATTTCAAGCGTTTAGCGTTACGGAATGCACATGAACTACATGAGTGAAATGTGCCACAGTACAAATACTTACCAAGACTGTGCTAATCTTTGTAACTTGCTTAGCAACTCCTCAATGAGTAGTTATCTTAATAACCTTGAGTATGAATTGGATCACGATGACGTAGTAATGTGGCGGAATTCCTGATGTCGTCTTCAGTTTTCAGTAATAAGGATAGAAAGTCTATCGACCTATATTAATCCTTGCAGTTCGTAATACTGTGGAGGTCCAGTCTCGTTTTTAATATATCAACAGAAGGTGCTGATATTACGTATTCCAGTAGAGAATTCCAGTAATTCACCACTCTATGTGAGCTATGAAACTCCGGACGTAAACGATTTGATCTCGGTTTTTGGGATTTCTTCAAATCTCCTCGCAAATGATCAGTTCTAGACGGAAGTTAAAGAGAAGACATGTCGATACCAAGGTTATCGTTCAGTATACGATAAGCCAATATAAGATCACCCCGTATTCTACGGTAAGATGACGGAAATAAGTTAAGGTGTCTCAGTCTGTCTTCATAAGATAAGCCAGATAAACCTTGTACCATCTTAGTACCTCGTC